TATCCTGCTGTGATTAAACACCATGGCCAAAGCAACTTGGGGAGGAAAGGGTCTGTTTCATCTTATGCTCCCAGGTCACAGTCTATCATTGGACCAAGTTAGAGCAGGAGCTCAAGCAGGAGCAGAGGCAGGAACCATGAAGTAGCTGCTTACTGGCTTGTTCCCTGGCTCATGCTCATCTATCTCTTTATTGTGCCCAGACCTACCTCCTAGGGATGGTACCTCCCAAGTGGCCTGGGCTTTCCTTTAGCAATTAACAATCAAGAAAATGCCCCACAGACATGCCCACAGTCCAGTCTGATGGAGGAAGTTCCATAATTGAGGTTCCTTCTTCCCAGGTATGTCAAGTTGGTAACCAGAATTAGCCATAACAAGAATAATGGGTTTCATTACATATACATACATGCCATTGTACTTTGCTGACATTTACCTTTCCTTCCCCCTTCCACCTTGTTGGGGAACCCTGCTGTTAGGGTTGCAGTTTCTCCATGTCCGGATAGCCGTGAGCGGCTCGGCACGTGATGGAGAGACTCTCCTTTTCAGCAGGGGGCCTCCTGCTCTCTTCCTGGCTCACCTTGAAGTGCTGCCACAGATGCCTTATCTGAAACATGACCTCTGGCATAGAAACTACCAGATTTTTTTCTATATGATAATCAGGCATTGTCTGACAGCCTGGAAGACAGAAGCCCACCGCCACATGTAAATAAAGCATAATATGAGCACCTATCAACTGAGGCTTTTGCTACTGCCTCCACACTATAAATCCTCTAGTTTTCCCCCTAATAAAACAGAGCTGTATCACTAAACTTGGCTGGAGCTGTATCACTGAATTTGGCTGAGCTGTTTTCACTGTGCCTGGAGCTGTGTTTCACTGCGCCTGGGACCAGCCTGTGATCAGTCTTCCCGGAGGAGCTGTCCTCTGTCAGCACTCACTCGCCAGCTTCTGCGTTCGCTGTTCCTGCTCTCCCCGCCCTCCTGGGTTGGTGGCCAACAACCCACGAGCCGAGGGGGAGCCTCCCGCAGCTAGCCCGAGCCTCCCGCAGCTTGGCGCAGAGCCCGCCTGCAGCTTGGCACAGAGCCCGCCCGCAGCCGCCTGCAGAGCCCGCCTGCACCCGCCGCAGCTGTGGAGAGAGCGAGAGACCCGCTGCCCGGCACCACCTCTTACTGGTCCCAAATTCTTGTTCATTTTAAATTACCCAGTCTGTGGTATTGTGTCATAGCAACACAAATGCCCTAAGACGATGTCCTAATATCTGAACGCAGTTGTTTGGTGTTATTTAGTCCAGTTTGACAGGTGTTCCTGTTGGGAGGGCTAGACTGACATGAGTTACTGTGTAATGGGGGAAGCAGGAGTCTTATTTTTTCAATTGTTCCTTTTCTAGCTTTTTGAGGCTGTTGCTTGGCTCAGTAATTTTCAGCTTTTCCTGTTGGTTTTCAAACACAGACGTTTAAGGATGGACATTTCCCCTGTGGGTGCTGCTTCAGCTTTATCCTACAAATTTTGCTGTATAGTCTTGTCATTATTATTCAATTTAAATACTTTCTGATTTTCAATATGATTCCCTCTTTGGTCCATGGGTTAGTCAAAGTTATCATAGTCTGCAACTAGGAGCTGAGCATATACATCACAAGTGACTACTCTTGCAAGTGGCGTATCTTTTCAGCTTCCTGGCCATGTCCTTTCATGTTCACAATTTAATTTTAGTAAGTCAGTTTCTGGAAAAATCAGTCTATGGCTAGAACTTTTTTGTACTTCTGTCAAGACCTTGAAAATATTCTATGTTTTCACCTAAAAAGTTTGTTGCTTTGTTTTTTCACAATTAGGTTTATGATGCATCTTGAGTTATATTTGATGAAGATAAGTACAATTAAATAGGGTTTTTATGACTCAAGTGACTAGGTATGATTAGTCTAAAGTCTGTTCCATTTACCTATGAATTCTTGTGCCTCGTGATCTCTCTCTCTCTCTCTCTCTCTCTCTCTCTCTCTCTCTCTCTCTCTTTCTCTCCCCAGTCTGGGGATTCAGCCTAAGGCTTCATGTATCCAAGATCTCTATTACTCAGCTATATCACTAGAGTTTATTTTTTATTTATTTTGGGACAGGGTGTTACTATGACGCCAAGGCTGGCCGTGAACTCACTCTGTAGCCCAGACAAGAGTTGAATTTTCCCTCTTCCTGTTTCAGCCTCCTTAAGTAACTCAGATTATAGACTGAGCCACCAGGCCCAGCTTTAGCATTTACTTTATTTAACTTTGTATTTATCGTGTGTGTGGAGGGTTGGGTGGGTGTGCGGGCCAATCAGAGGACAACTTTCTGGAGTCGGTTCTCTTCCGTTGCCTTGTGGGTCCCAATGATTGAACTCAGGTTCTCAGGTTGGTAGCAATGCCTTTCCCCTCTGAGCAATCTTGCTGGCTCTTAACATTTAGTTTTGAAGTACATTTCCTCCAGTCTGCGGTATTCTGTTTAGCAGCACAGATGCCTCAAGACAATGTTTTAATACCTGAAAGCACTTGTTTGGTGTATTTGGTCCAGTTTGACAGGTGTTCATGGTGGAAGGGCTCGTTTTGTGAGTTACTGCGTAATGAGGGAGTGGGAGTCTTATTTTTTTAATATTTTATATGAATGAGTGTATTGCATATATGTTAGTGCACCTGTGTCCTGCAATGACCATGGAGGTCAGAAGAGGGCGTCGGATCCCTTGGAACTGGAGTTACGGACAGTTGTTAGGTGCCATGTGGGTGCTGGGATTTGAACCCAGGTCATCGGCAAGAGCATTTACTGTTCTTAACCGATGAGCCATCTCTCCAGCCTGGGAGTCTTATTGTTTTTTTAATTGTTCCTTTTCTAACATTAAAAAATTATTATTTTTATATTTTTTTCATTTATTATTTTTATTTTATGTATATAAGTGTATTGCCTGCATGTATGTGAGTGCACCCGTGTCATGCAGTGCACATGGAGGTTAGAAGAGGGTGTCAGATCCCCTGGAACTGGAGTTACAGACAGTTGTTAGCTGCCCTTTGGGTACTCGGAGCTGAACCTGGGTCCTCTTCAAGAGCAACTGGTGCTTTTTCCTGCAATGACCACGGAGATCAGAAGAGGGCGTCGGATTCCCCTGGAACTGGAGTTAAGGATGGTTTGAAGCCAACATGTGGGTGCTGGGAATCGAACCTGGGTCCTCTGCAAGAGCAGTCAGTGCTCTTAACCACTGAGCCATCTCTCCAGCCCACTTTTCTAACATTTTAAGGATGTTGCCTGGCTCATTAATTTTCAGCATTTATTCCCTCCCTCCCCCTTCCTCCTCCACATTTCCTCCCCCTCCTTTTCTGGCAAGTCTTCCTATTTAGTTCAGGCTAACTTGGAACTCACTATGTAGTCCAGGTTGATTTTGTATTTGCAATCCTCCTGCCTCAACCTTCTGGGTGCTGGGTTTACAGGCAAAGTATGTTTTCTAATTCTCTGTTGCCAACAGTGCTGCCTTTCTTTAGCAGAGGCCTCCGAATCTACTTGCTCTTGTCCAACTTTCTCTGTGAGGGACGTTACCTGAGTGGATTACACTAAGGGTACCCCTCCCCATTCTGGTCCTATGGAACATCCTGGGAAGAGATCAGAGCCAGGGAATTGAGAGGTACCCTGACAATTAGTCTCCTGCCCTCCTTCCTGTGTTTCCTCAGGTTGGTTTTGTGCTGAGCAAATGTCATTACTATTAATTTATATTTTAATTTATGTTCTTTAATTTACTATTCTATGGGCTTCGGTGTCCATTATAATGGTGAACAAAAATGTGATTGTCTCATTCCCAGCTATAAGCCGAATGCATTAAGGATTATATATTTTTGTAGATCTGGGATAGATACCCCCTTTTAAGTCAAGGAATTTTCTTCTCTCTGAATTTGTTAGTTTTCAAAATTGTGAACAGATGTTGGCTTTGTTGAATGTTTTCCTGCCTTGTTCGAGATAACTGTAAAGCTCTTTTCTTTTTCTTTCTGTTCTCCCTTGGGTTCTAGCACATTCTGGTCATGCATGTCAAGGTCAAGCCATAGAGACTTTCCTTCCTTGCCCCACTCTCAAAGGGCAGGAATGAAGCCCACCAGTCCTCTCAACACTGGAGGCTTTTGGAATTTTCATGTGGAATCTACAGTAACATCATTTTGATGTATTGTTTTGTTTACAAAGCATCTCCTTTATTTTGTTTGTTTAATCAAGAACTTTTTCTTGTCAGTAAAGACAGGATGTCATAATGAAAGTGATGAGAGAGAGGCCCATGCTGACCCAAATTCATATGTGTAGCAGTCTGTGAAGAGGGGGTTAGTCTGTTTATTCACAGAGAACAGGATCAGAGAGGTGGGATGCCCCACTGAGAATCATGGCAGAGTGAAAGCCTGACTGACTGGACTAAGATTTTGTGCTTACAAATCCTGCTTGTGGGGGATGGGGTTGTAATTCAGTTGGAAGAGCACTTGCCCAGTATGCAGAAAAGCCCTGGGTTCAATCTCCAGTACTGAATAAATGACATGGTGGCACATACCTGTAATCCCAGCACTCAGGAGATGGAAACAAGATCTGTAGTTTAAGGGTATCCTTAGCTACAAAGCAAATTTGGGGCCAGCATGGGTTACATGAGACCCTGTCTCAAAAAGAAAAGAAGGAGGAGGAAGAGGAGAAGCAGGAAGAGGAGGTGGAGGAGGAGGAGGAGGAGGAGGAGGTGAAGGAGAAAAGAAACCCCATTTGCTTTCTTGTAACAGAGAAGTGAGACCCGGGCCCACTTTACCACCAGTGAACTTCCTTTCTCTGATCCTTGGAGCACGAGTGGTAACCTTCTCCTATTCTGGTTCTCCTCCCTCTCAGTTCCCCAACTCTTCTACAGTGGAGGCACTGTGGCCCTCTGACCATGCTCCTAGATCTTTCAGGTATATGAGCACTGTCAATGTGCACGTGTGGATGGGTGGAGGATCTGGATTTCCTTTCAGATCTGACTCTGCTTCTCTGGTCTGTTAAGATGGGCAGGCACTTGCTGCTGCCTGGACTGCTCCTATTCTTGCCTCTGGTAACAGGCTGGACCACTTCCAAATGCCCAGTGACTGAAGGCTCCCATCGGCACCTGGTTTCCCGCTACTTTGCATTCTTGCCCTTGGACATCAAGCTATCCTTTGTTGCGGCATGCTCCTCCTTGACCAACTTGACGGAAGCATTTGAAGTTGTGCCTCGGAGAGTGGAGGGGCTCATCCTCAGTGGCTCTGTGTCTTCTCTGCCTCAGGATGCTTTCTCTGCCTTTCCTGGACTGAAGGTCTTGGTTCTGAGTTTGCATCTCAAGCAACTCCAGTCAGGAGTTCTCCGGGGCCTGGGGCATCTGCAGCAGCTCTCTTTTATGGGTGGTCCTATAAAGACGAGACCCATCATTATACATCCTGATGCCTTTGATGACCTGATATCTCTCCAGAAACTCAGTTTCTATGGCTTCTGTATGGACAAGAGGGCGGGTATCCGACTGCCTCCCAACCTACGACATCTGGCTGTCAAGAACAGTTGCCTGCAGGATGTTGGGGAGCTAGCTGGCATGTTCCCAGATCTGGTGCATGGCTCCTCCTCTGGGGATACCTGGACCTTGGATATATTGGATCTGTCACTCAATGAGGGCTTGAAGATGGCCAGTCCTGGGTCGCTTCAGGGCCTGAAGCTGGAGACTCTGCATCTGGAACGCACGAAGCTGGAGGCGGTAGCAGTGAGGGGCCTGGGGCTGCAGAGGCTCACTGCCTTGTCTGTACAGGCCACTGGCACAGCTGAACTGCCTGCCCAGGTGGTCTCTCACTTTCAGCTGCAGAAACTGAATGTGGGTTATAACAAGATAGGCCACATAGCTCAGGAAGCCCTGGCTTCCTGCCACAGCCTGAAGAACTTGAGTCTTGGGAACACTGGCCTGACTAATCTGCCACCAGGGTTCCTGGCTGCCATGCCCAGGCTTCAGAGTCTGAACCTGGCCGGAAACCAACTGCAGAGTGCCATGCTGTGCATGAACGAGACAGGAGCCGTGTCAGGACTGTGGACCCTGAATCTGTCCCCAAATGGGCTCCGAGTCCTGACCCCAGCCGCCTTTTCCTGTTTACCACACCTGAGGGAACTCCTCCTTTGGGATAACCAGCTGCTTTTTCTTGAAGGTCGGGAATTCCAGGGCCTACAGCAGCTAGAGACCTTGAACTTGGATAAAAATCCCCTGCTTAACTTGGGTGAGGACTGGTTAGTTGCTCTGCCTGCACTGACCACCCTTAGCCTGCTAGACACTAACATATCGCCAGGCCCAACTTCAGCCTTCTGGGGAGCAGAGAATCTGCACACCTTGAGACTGCAGCTTCCCTCTGCCCCTCGTGGGGCAGTACTGTCCCTGCCCAGGACTTTGACCATCTTGGAGCTTCATGCAGCCTTAGGCATGGTGCGTTGGAAGCTGATGCCCAATGTCTTTCCTGCTTTGCAGACCTTGACTATAAAAGGCAGGGGACTGCAGCTGGGGGTCCCGAATGTCTCTGAGGTCTTCCCTGCTCTTCATCAACTATCCCTGTTTGGCAGTAGCTTGGAGGTCTTCTGCTTCCAGGGTACCTACAACCTTTTTTTCTGGCAGTTCCCCAAACTCCAGTCCCTGTGGGTACGGGATTCTCGGAGCAACCCCAGGCCCTGCTATATCACTGGACTGCCCAGCCTACGGAAGCTGAAGCTGGAGTCGCTGCAGTCCACAACCCAGCCCCGCTCGGTACAGCTGGAGGAACTAGTGGGGGAACTGCCACAGCTCCAGGAACTGCAGCTGTGTAGTACAGGGCTCAAGTCACTGTCGGCTACAGCTTTCCAGCGTCTGGGCAGTCTCCGGGTCTTAGTGCTTGACGATGAGAAAGACCTGGTGCTGGATGATAGCCTGCAGGCACATAGTCCTCAGATGCCCGAGTATGTATACATTCTGTCTTCAAACCTGGCCTGTCAGTGTGCCAATGTGTGGGTGGAGCTCTGGCTTAAAGGGTCCCCCAACACATACATATGCATACTAGGTCCTCAGAGGTGTCGGACAGAAGCAGAGGGCCGCTCCAGTCTTTCCCTTTTCCCCTTTCTCTGGAACCACTGCCCACAGGCTTTGGAGCTGGTTCTCTTTGGCAGCAGCCTTGCCTTGCTGATTCTGCTGCTCTCCTTGCCTCTCTTACAGGAAGCCAGGAACTTCTGGGTCCTCTATTTGCAGGCCTTGTTTAGGGCTTGGCTCCGGGGACTGAGGGGTCAGAAGGATGAGAGAAAGAAGTTCCCTTATGATATGTTCGTGTCTCATTGCAGGCAAGACCAGGGCTGGGTGATGCGGGAATTGCTGCCTGCTCTGGAGGGCTTCCCTCCAACTGGCTGGGGGCTACGCCTCTGCCTCCCTGAGAGAGATTTTGAGCCAGGCAAGGATGTAGTTGATAATGTGGCAGACAGCATGATGGGTAGCCGCGTCACACTCTGTGTGCTGAGTCGCCAGGCCCTGTGTACCCCTCGCTGTCGTCTGGAGCTCCGTCTGGCCACCTCTCTCTTCTTGGCTGCTCCCTACCCCCCAGTACTCCTGCTGATCTTCCTGGAACCCATCTCCCGCCACCAGCTCCCTCGCTACCATAGACTGGCCCGGTTACTCAGAAGAGGAGACTACTGCTTGTGGCCCAAGGAAGAGGAGAGAAAGGAGGGCTTTTGGACTTGGCTGAGGAGCAGGCTGCAGCAGCCTGGGTTGGAGTAGGAGGATGCATGTGGGGTAGGAGAAGCAAACCAGCCTGGTAGGGAGTCAGTGTATTTGTGGTGGGGGAAAGGGGTGCTGTGAGGCTGAATGAAGTCAGCTTTCTATAGACGTAGGAGACTAGAAGCTGGGAACATGGGCTTTGGGAGGCTCATGGGGTTGCATGGAAAAAGTTAGGAGATGGCAGGTCCCTATGGGGTGTGTGATGGGATCCCAGGATCTCCAAATCCTCAGTAAATTTGTTAAATCCATGAAATCCTTGGCTTAATTGAACTTTTATTTTGTAGAAATGCATGAGACAAAAGGAAAAGGGAAATAAAGTTGGGACTTCATGAAACATAGAGAGAAGTGGGGAAGGAGCCTAAACATATGAGACTTGGGGCCAGGCCTAATTCAAGCTGATGTTCAAGAGGCCAAGGGGTTCTTCTGCATCTAGGATTACATATGCTCTATTTTCATTTCTGTACTGTGATTAAAAAAAATACTCTGACCAAAAGCCAAGTAGCGGATGAATGCTTTATTCAGGTCACAGTCCATCACTGAGGGAAATCAAGGCAAGAATTCAAGGCAGGAGCTTGGAGGCAGGCCTGCTTGCTGTTCCACACAGCATCACCTCCGACCAGGGAACTCACTTCACAGCCAAGAAGTACAGTGGGAACCATGGAGGAGGCCAGTTCCTGGCTTGCAGACCAGCTTTTACTTAGCTAGCTTTCTTATACTGTTCAGGACCACTGCCTAGGGATGGTGCCACCTACAGTGGGCTGGGCCCTCCTACATCAATTGGTAATCAAGACCTCCCTCACAGGCATGCCTATAGGGCAGTCTGATCTAGTTAATCCCTCAGTTCAGGCTCTCTTCTTAGATAACTCTAGGCTGGTATCAAGTTGATAGTTAAGCAGACCAGGACAGAAGAGTTGGCAGTTAAGGACCACAAAGCTGGGATGCTGTCTAGGAGGCAGCAGACTGATTATCCTCAGCGAAAACATGAAGGTGTCTTTGTATAGATTTTCCATTTGAGCCTCAAAGCAATATTATCATATTGTATGCTGTAGCCATGTAGAGCTACTTGTTGCTCTCAGAGTACTCTTGCCTCTGGGCCTTTATATACCCTGCTTCTTTACTGTTGAATGCCTTGCCCCTGGGGACTACCTAAACATCCTTTAAGAATTCATCTCAGCCATTAGTTTCTTCAGAGGCCTTTGCTAAGCTTCCAGCCTGGATAAATGTGTTCTTGGACTCTCACAATTTCCTGTACCCTTTTGTCTCAAAGGACTGAGTAAAGACCTGGGAGTCTCGAGGACAATTCTCCAAAGTGGGAAAAATGTTATAATCAATCTTTCCTCTTTCTTCTCCTCTTCTTCCTCTTCTTCCTCTTCCTCCTCTTCTTCCACCTCTCTCTCTCTCTCTCTCTCTCTTTCTGATTTTTGATACAGTGCCTTTGTTTCAGGCACTCCCTTCCTCTCTCCTCTTCCCTCCATTCCTCCACCTCTCTCTCTCTCTCTCTCTCTCTTTCTGATTTTTGAGACAGTGCCTCTTGTAGCCTAGCCTGTGCTGGGATTTGGGATTACAGGGGTATGCATCATTTGGCCCAGTTTTATTTCTCTTTACTTTTAAAATCTCACATTTTTCTGAAGCTAGAGTGTCTGCTCTTAAACTGTGTGGCTTTGGTATGTTACTTAACCTTTGTACAGAAGGTTCCTGTTCTGTAAAATAGAGCGTTCACACCCTCTCTTGGGGTCTTGTATGGATGAAGTAAGCTCATGTGACTAAAATACTAAGAGAAAGACTTACCCATACATTACAGATGTTCAATAAAAGTTATATTCAAGGGGGCTGGAGAGATGACTCAATAGTTAAGAGTGCATACTGATCTTGCAGAGAACTCAAGTTCAGTTCCCAGTACCTACTTTGGCGAGTTTACCTGTAACTCCAGCACCAGGGGGATCTAATACCTATAGCCTCTGAGGGCATTGGCACTCATGTGCACTACACTCCCACTATACACATAATCTAAAAATAATAAATTAAAAATTATATATTAGTACATGCGCATCATATATGAGCTAATACACATTAGTTGGAAGTGTGTATTCCAAAAGGTTTTACTCCTTGGAGTACTTGATTCAGAGTTTGGAAATCAGACTCTGGAGGGAGGCAAGGACACATATGATTCGACTCTGCATCCTTGGAGTCTAGTCCTGACCCTGAAAGAGGATTCAGGTAGACAAGTGCACAAGGCACTGCCAAATCAGGCAGAAGACGGGACTGGGCCAGGCTGTTTCTTAGTTCCATATGGCAGGGTACAGGGTATTTGGCCTCTTATGAATTTCTTTAGTTTGCCACTTCTGTAAAATGCCAGGTTTTAATAAGACAAAGGCTAAGAGATGCCACAGGAACAATCGGAGGTTGGATTTAGGGTGAGGGGCGCCCTCTTGTGTTCTAACGGTGTGTTTCTCTTGCTGTACACCATCTCCATTCCTCTGCAAAACAGACGTCGCTGCTGAGGAAATTCTTACCCGACCCTGCAAAGCTAGCTACCTTTTCACCTTCAGGCCCCGACGTGCTCAGATGGCTCCAGTCCATTCAGCCATCCTTACTGATTCACTGTCTACCCCAGGTCTTCCCTCGTTCTCCTATGGTGTCTTCTCCATGAAGTCAGGCAGACAGGAAGGAAGCTTTTGGAGTTACAGGCTCAGGGGTTGAAATTCCAGATTTTGTAATTATTTCCCATGTGATCTTGAGCAGGGTTCTCCAGAGTGGGAAAAATTGTTACAATCAATCTCTCCTCCTCCTCCTCTTCCTCCTCCTCCTCTTTCTTCTCCTCCTCCTCCTTTTCCCTTCCTTCCTTTCTTCTTCTTCTTCCTCCTCCTCTTCCTTCTCCTACCCCCATTTTCTAAGTTGAGGTTAACAATAACAATCACATAGGGCTGTTTTGAGGAGTGTTAATAGGTTAGTATTACATGCACTAAGTAAATATTGGCAAGTAAGTCAGAATATAGTTAAAGGGGAAAGAAATTCTTTTGGGCTTTTTGAGAAAGGGTCTCCCTGTAGCCCCAGCTGACCTGGAATTCACTATGTAGACCAGTCTGGCCTCGAGCTCACAGAGATATGCCTGCCTCTGCCTCCCAAATGCTGGGATTAAAGGCATGAGCTGCCACGCCTGGCTAAGGGGAAAGAATTTGAAGTGCTTTATTAAAACTAAGATGCTGAATTTCCTTAACTTTAAAAGTAATCAACATACAGTGAGCCCCTTCTAAATGCTAATTACTATAAAAAGTTTTATAGCTCTTAATAAAAAGAATAGCCAATGGTTATTAAACTTTCTCTGTGCGAGGCAGATACCAAGCTCCTTACTCATTTGTTCACGTAGTTTCGACAATTCTCACAATTGTCTCAACAATAATTCCATTATTATTCCCATTTTGTTGATGAAGAAACTGGAGCATTACAAGGTTTAGCAATCAAGAGCTTGGGAGATAGTCAGTAAAACGCCTGCTGCACGAGCATGGGGACCTGAATTTAGGTTTGCAGCATTCATATAAAAGCCAGGAGTGGGGTTGGGGGTGAAGCAGAGACAGGTAGATTCCCAGAGCTCACTGACAAGCCAGCCTAGCTGAATCTTTGATCTCCAGGTTCAGTGAGAGACTTTGCCTCAAAAAAAAAAAAAAAAAAAAAAAGAGGGGCTGGAGAGATGGCTCAGTGGTTAAGAGCACTGGCTGCTCTTGCAGAAGACCTGGGTTTGATTCTGAGTACCCACATGGCAACTAACAACTGTCCATAACTCCAGGTCCAGGGGATCCAGCGCCCTCTTCTGACCTCTGTGGGCACTGAACTACATATATGCACTTACACACATGCAGGCAACATACTCACACAAACATTAAAATAAAAATAAGTATTTAAAAAAATAAGGCAGGGACAGAGTATGTTAGCTACTTTTCTGTTGTTGTGATAGAAACACTGACCCAAAGCAACTTATAGAAGGAAGAGTTTATTTGAGCTTACAGTTCCAGGGGAATTACAGTCCATCATGGCAGGGAGGCATGGTGGCAGAGGTGGCTGGAGGAGGAGCAGAAGCTAAGCTCTCACATCTTCAAGTAGGAACAGGAAACGAGAGCAACTGGAGATCAGTTTCTAAGCTCCCCCCCCCCCCCCAGTGACATGCTTTCCAGGATAGCCACATCTTCTAAGACTTCCAAAAACAGTGCCAACTGGGGACAAAATGTCCAAATACTTGTAGCCTATGAGGGGACATTTTCAAACCACTACCCCCCACACACAGAGAGAGAGAGAGAGAGAGAGAGAGAGAGAGAGAGAGAGCACCAGGAAAGACCTCAATGCTGGCCTCTACGAGCATGTGCTCCTGTATGCACACATACATTCATCCACACAAATACACACATGAAAGAGGTTTAGTAGTTTGTCTAAGTTTTCACAACTAGTGAGTGGCAAGAAGTGCATCCTGCCTTGGAAGTAAGTTTCAGACACAAATGGCTTGACTCTGGCAGCCAGGCTTTACCTACATAATAGCTTTAATCTTCAAAATACTCTGAAGTGTAAGTTCTGTTAAATCACCTGTATTTTACAGGTGAAAAAACAAACAAATGAAGACAAAAGCAATGTGGTACTTTATTCAAGGCCACACAGCTAGGAAGTATTGGGATTGGGATCTGGATTGATGCCTGACTTCAAGTTCCACACTCCCAGCTTTATATTAGATTGCTCATACCCCAAAGTATTCATGGTGGAATAAAGCAACCACTTAGTCTATATTCACATTATTCGGAAATAACGATGAACATTTCCCCAACACCCACGAAGTGTCACAACTCTGCACGAACCGATTTACATAATAATGCTGCTGTATATTGTTAGGATCCGGGCCCTGATCTATAGGTGTATTGTCTCACCGAAGTCTCACATACACCCATGACATGGCTGCTATTATAGAGGCGAGAATTCATCCAAGTCATATAATTAAGTCGTGAACTGGAAATTGAACTTACAATTGTCCAACTCTCTTTGCCCTACTTTGGTCACGTCTAGTCATCCTCTTTCCTAATTATTATTTCTGCCTCAGTCTCCAGATTCACCCAGGAATCTTCTAGCGTCCAGTAGGCCCCGCCCCTTCTGCTCTTAGTTCCCGCCCATTGGGCGGTGCGATCACCGTAGAGCCAATGAAAAGAGTCAGTATTGCATCAGGCTCCCGACCCCAGGCGTTGAACCTGTTCCGGTGCCAGAGCCCGTGAGACGATGACGCATTCATTGGCTGACGTCATCTACAAGGAGGTAGCCGGGGGGCGTGGCTCACCGGCGCTCACGCGATGCCTTCTGGGAGTTGTGGTCTCAGACATCCCGTTCCTGGACCGGCACCGTCCGGACTCCGCGTCCCAGCATCCACCGCGCGAGCCCGGGAGTACTTCCGCCCTGTTGTGAAGTGGGTGTCTCGGTGGGTGAGTCCGGGTGGCGGGGTTGGGGCAGCCGAGACTCAGGCTCTGGGCTGAAGGCTTAGGAGGTGGTGGTACCCCAGGGGGCCGGGGAAGGTGAGAGGGGAAGGCAGCGTCCGTGTGGGAATGGATGGCGAGGGGCGGGCCGAGGATGCAGCGTACGCAGATGGGAGGGTCACCGCGGGGTCGGGATGAGGAGGGAGCTGGAGGGGACGGGCAGTGAGGCGAGTCCCCCGAGGTCTGCAGGTGAGACGACAGGGCTGGGTGTTGGAAATGGGAGAGTCACCTTAGGGTCTGGAGAGCAGAAGGAACGAAGGAGGACCTGGGCCCTGGCAAAGAATTGAAGAGCTGGAAGCCTGACCTTAAGATAATGTTTGGTTCTCCACCTACCTGCCCAACCCCAACACACCCAAGTTTGTATCCTCTCTGGTGGTTGTTACTTCTGTAGTGGGTGGGACTGGCGATTGCGTTCTCCCCCAAACCTGTACTTCTTTACTTTTTTTCTGATGGAAGTGAATCCACTGACCCACCCACTGACCTACTTGCTTTACCTTCCGATTCTGTATTGTACCACATCACGCGTCTGCAGGGCTTGCCATTTCTTTAGTGACTCAGGAAACTGCCCCTGTCTTTGTAGAAGTGTCCACCTTTGCATTTCCCCAACAGGGACAAGCACATTGCAGCTAGAATGGTCCGTTTAACCCACAGGTCTGATTATACTTTATCCAGCACAAGTTGAATGAAGTCCACACATCCTAGCCTTGTATTCTAAACCCTTCATCAACTCCCTTTGCAGCCCAATTTTCATGCACCTCACACTGTAGGGCTGCCAAGGTTTTTCCCATTTTCCGAATGGGTACGGTTTGGTTTTCTACTGTCACATATCCTGTTATCTCTGCTTAGAACACTCCATCCTCTGTTGTCTGTCTGGAGACCCAAGAACAAACTCCACAGGTAACCCCCATTGAAATCCCTTAAGCTGACCTTCAACTTCTAGCTTCCAGGCCTTTCCTATTGTATTTACCACTTTTGAGAAATATAATTATCAGTGACATTCTTGTCTCTTCCACTAGACTGAGTGTCATCAGCACAGGAAGTGTCTGAGTCATCTCCCTTTGTCCAGCCCAGAAGCGCCTGATGAAGTTCAAGCAGATCAGTAAATGTTTGTTGATTGTGTGAAGATAGTCCATCAGGATGAGCTTTGTTAGACCAGGCTTAAAGATGGCTATGAATTTCCTGGACACCGTCTTTAATCTCCTTCCTGTCACAGCTGTCTGCTGGACGCTGAGGCTCACTCAGTGCTGATGGGAATTCAAGTACCGGGTGGCTAGTATATGTAATGTGTGCTGCCGCCTAGGCCTTGGCAGTCATGAACTAATTGGTCATATGTTCATATGGAACTCATTCCTCTACAGCTACTCTAGGTAGTATATTGAAATGAATTTTCAGTCTAAATGAAAGTTACTTGCTGTCCCTAGTTTAAGTTCTTTTCTTTTCTTTTTTTTTTTTTTTTTTTTTTTTTTTGTCTTTTTGAGATAGCATCTCCCGGTAGCCCCAGCTGGCCCGGAACTCACTATGTAAACCAGGCTGACTTCAAACTCACAGAGATCCACCTGCCTCTGCCTCCCAAGTGCTGGGACTAAAGGCGTGCACCACTATGCTTGGTGCAACATATTTAATCCTTATCGTGTCTGAAACTATTTTGGGCCAGTATTTAAAACTGCAGAATTCGGCTAGGCATGGTAGCACATGCCGTTAGTCCCAGCATTTGGGAGGCAGAGGTCTCTGTGAGACTTAGGCCAGATGTAGCTACAGGGAGACACTGTCTCAGGATCAAAACAAAACAAAACAAACAACAGCAGTAACAACTCCAGAAGTCTAGCTTCTCAGGTCCGTGTAGTTGGTCAGAGTGCCCATCCATTTCACTTATTTCCTTGTTACCACCACTTCTATTTCACCGCCCCACTGTTCTACCCTCATGATGCTAGGGCAGTTGCCTGTGTAGGCAGCTGCAGGAGGCCGCCTGGCCTTCCCAAAGTCACACAGCTAAGTATCATGAGTGGAACTAGATCCCTGTCTCCCCTCAATCTTTGCTGATGTTCTTTCCGGTCTCCCATACTATAATCTCAGGAGTTTGATTGACTAGCAGGCATGAGGCTGTGTGATGTGATTAAGGAAAGTGATGGGAGAAGACAGACCTGAGCAGAGGCCCTAACTCTGACACTTGTTAGTTTTGTAACCACGAGTGACTGTTCTTTGCAGAAGCTCAGTTTCCCTCTATGCATTTGAGGATATAATGTGCTTGTATCTTCTCAGATAATTCTAACCTCAGCACAGAAGGTGAAAATCACACTTAACCAAAAAAAAAAAAAAAAAATCACAGCTTGAACATCCTTTGGTCAGGAGCCATTTCAGAACTCAACATGCTGTCCTTGCATAAGCTCATCAACACAGCCAGGTTTTCTTGTAGGAACGTTAGATGAAAGGATTGACTTGGGGACTGTGCTGCAGGAAAGGCACTCCACTTCCACTGTGTCACAAAAGCCTCAAGGGAACCAAAAGCAGCCAGAGAGTAGCAGAGTTGTGGGGTTAGCACCACATTCTGGCTCTGGAACAGACAAGTAAATGGTATTGGCTGCGCTGTTTAAATTATGCTCTCTCTCTCTGTGTATATTGTGGAGGTTCGAGGTCACCAAAGTACAGCCCAGCACCAATGGCCTTCCCCTTGCTTACCTGGAGGATTTGGTGCAAATATGAATGTGGAATGCTTAGCACTGCACCTAACACTCAATAAATGGTAACTCTGGGAGGCCTGGATGTTTTTGATAGTCTCAGAACTAGGGAATGCCTGTGTCCAGCTGTTGGCAGACTGTGTTTACCTCACCTTCCTCTCATAAGGTTGAAGTTGATATATGGTCCCTGGGGGTTTCTTACATCTGTTTGAAATGAACCTTTGAGGTTTTTAGGATTGCCACCTGCCCCCACCTCCCCAACCCAAAGATGTCCAAAGCTCTGGCTTTGGACCTGATGAGACTGCTCCTTGCCTGATGGGTGTCCTCTTTATGAGGGAGGATAGAAATCTTAGCTTGTTGACGTATTATCTCCCTAGACTGTAACTCTTCTGAAGGCTGCAGGGACAGTCTGTCTTAGCTGTTGTTGGATCTCTAGTGCTCAGTACAATGCAGGCTATGTACTGGATACTGTGTGAATGCAGGTTAGTTCTTCTGTGAGACACTGACAGAAACATGTTTAGATTAGCATGTCAGAAAGTTGTGTCTAAAAAAAATCATGAAGGGTTAATTCTTTAATGTAAATTATGGATCCTTTAGCCTTTTAATATACCGATTTATGGTTTTAATAGGAGGTAACAAAACTTTTTAATGGACCCGCTTTTTATCAGGTACTAGGTTGGATATTACAGATACAGAGGTAAGATCCATGCTGGCCTTAGTGGTAGTCAAATGGGGTTGCCCGACGGTAGAGTAGATGATTACAAAAAGCGTAGACGATGGGGATCTCAGAGGTGCCTGGCTGCTTCAGGAATAGGATCAGGGAGGCAATTTTTGGAGAGTAGGGATGGGGGAGGGCATGGCAAGGGCAGGCCAAGCACTCTTCGCAAAGGATGTGACATTTGGGCCAGTAGCAGAGGGCTGAGCAGGAAGTTGCTGGAGTTATGTGCTGCGAGGCTCTTTCCAAGGACCTGGGAGTCTATAGGGGTCTCTCTTTTGCCGCCCCTGCCTTGTTTCCATAGAGCCCAGTCAGATGGCCTAAAATCCAAAAGGCCGCCCTGATGCCACTCTTGGTTGGACTGTGTCATTCCTGCTTAGCTGCGCCTCCTTTGAACGGGCATGTTTCATGTCATCTAGATTTGTCACTTTCTCAGAGAAGCCTGCACAGGAGTCATTAGGGAAGCTGTCATCTCCTTGGGCACAGACATGCTCAGGTCCCTGCAATGCATGGTAGAAAATGGTGTCATGGAGAGGAGGGAATCACAGGGATAAAGGAACTCCTGGTGTGGGCAGAAAATCAGTTATCCTTTATTTAGTGTACACGGGAAAGGATTTACCATTCCTTGCTTCGTGAGTTTTAACACGACTTCACTGTTGTGTTTCCTTTGTGTGCCGAGCACTATACCAGATTCCTCTGGAAGCTAAGGATGTGGTGGATAAGGTGCTTATGATAAAGGATGATGAAAGTTGTAAGAGAAAATACAAGATGCTATGGAAGTTTGTGTCTGGGGCCTCAGGGGAAAAGTGCAGTTTAAGCTGAGACCTAGCTAGGTAACGAAGAATAGGCTTTTCCCAGAGCAGGCTGGCTCCAGGGAGCGTTCTGAGTGCAGCCTGGGGGGAGAACTGCAGGCTGGAGCAGCCTAGCTTGGGAGCTTGGGACAGAGATAAGGTTGGGAGATCACGGATTGGCGTTTAGCACCGAGGTCACATTTTGGTTGAGTTTGGTTGTTGTGCTGAGTGCACTGGAAGTTGGGGTGGGGGCGGTGGAGGGAGGCCATGTATTGGGAGGGCAAGGACAGAACATGGTGAGATGATTCTGTGGACATTAGTTAATGAATTGGGTGTGGGGCAAATGGGAGTAAGCAGATGGAACGTGGTACTTTCAATGAATAAAAAGCTCTAGAGATGGATGGGCCTGTAGGAGAACCTAATGAAATCTGGATTTATTTATTTGTTTATTTACTTTTACTTTTTGGGTCATGGTTTTACTATTGTAGCTCAATTTGGTCTTGAACTCAAGATCTTTTTGCCTTAGCCTCCTGATTGCTTGGATTATAGGTACCACTGTGTCTGAAAATGCATTCGGCTTTTGCCCTGTTGAGTATGAGGTATCTAAGGGACAGTAAAGTGGAAATGTTGAAGTTGGGACTATGGACAGTAGTGGCTGGAGTTTTGAGAGTCTTGAGTTTGGCGATGGTGAATAATGCCAGATGCATGGGATGACGCTGGAGAGTGGAGACAACGAGGGGTTTCTAAAGAGCGCATCCATAGACGAACACCAAGTTTTAAGGCTCAGAAGGGAGGCATTATGGAGGAGGTGGCCTTCAGAACCCAGCCTGAAGGAAGGTTAGCTTTTGGACATCTGTATTGGGGGGGGAGGCCAGATTGTAGGTCCAGAGCTTAGAGACCCAGGGTTCTAGGCTAAGGCATTTAGATGTGTCCCAAACGATGTAATGGGTGTTGTATTTTTGCAGTGTGAGCTGGCTGCTGATTTGGTGCCTGAAGGCAGTCTTACTTCCTGCCCTTTGGGAAGGCCATCTCTTAGCTCTGCTGTGCCTGGCAGAGGTGAAAAGTGTGGGAGAAATGAGGACAGCAAGGTTCCTGAGCCGCTTGCTCACTGTGTCCTTTGTCTTTCTGCCTTCACAGTCTTGGGGAGCAGTCTGTTTTCCAGGAGTCCCTTGAAGGACACATTGTCAATACAGGAAGTCATCGGATGAGGGCAGCCCAGCTGAAGTGAGGCATCCAGGCCGGATGATGGCTGTGGCCCTGGAATCCGAGGTTCAGGCCTCACCCCTACCAGAACCTGAAGAACTTCTGATTGTGAAACTGGAGGAGGACTCATGGGGGTCAGAATCCAAGCCTCAGGAGAAGGACCGCAGCCCTGTGCCTGGCCCTGAGGTGTCCCGCCGGTGTTTCAGGCAGTTCCAGTACAGGGATGCAGCTGGACCCCATGACGCCTTCAGCCAGCTCTGGGCTCTCTGCTGTCGTTGGCTGAGGCCCGAAATCCGCCTCAAAGAGCAGATCCTGGAGCTGCTGGTCCTGGAGCAGTTCCTGTCCATCTTACCCAGGGAGGTGCGAGTGTGGGTACAGGCACGCCATCCTGAGAGCGGGGAGGAGGCTGTGGCCCTGGTGGAGGATTGGCACCGAGAGGCTCAGGTTGCTGAACATCGGGTGAGTCTAATAATGGTCTGTTCTCCAAGAAGCCAGTTGGGCAAGGTAGCGGGCCAGGGTTGAAGTTAGTAATTGCCCCAAAACTGACATCTGCGGACCACTGTTGTATAACAGTGTCCTAATTGCTTAATGTGTGTTAACTCGTTTACTCTTGCCAGCAGTTTAATCTTAACCTAATTTTAACTATGACAAAACAGGCAAGGAAAAGCTTAATTTGCTAGATTTCAGCAGCTACCGGATTGTAGAGCCAAGATTTAAACAGTGGACAGTCTGACTGGAGTATGCATGCCTAATCACACTTGAAACTGCCTCTCAGTGCCGTGTAGTATGCTTAAAAATCCGTGTTATGCTTAACACAGTCGTTATGCACGCTTCATCTCTTGGGATTCTTACATCAGTACATTTCCAGAAGTAGTATTACTGTCTCCGTATTATAGATTAGGGCTCCAAATACCACATGTTCACCAAGGCCACCCAGTGAATGAGCTGGAGCCCAAATCCTGGTCCTTCCATTGCAAGGCCATTGCTCTTCCTACTACAGATGGATGTCTCATCTGCAAACCGCGCTAACTAAAATGCGTCTGTGTGTGAGGCACAGGTGAGGTATTTGCTGGCTTTCTCTGAGCACTCATTGTGCGTCAGACCCTGTGCTGAGCCTTTTGTATACACCCCTCATCTCACATGGCAGTCTAATAAGGTAGGTAATTGCATTGTTATTTTTCAGGTGGGTTAACAGAGAGAGAAGTACCTTGACTGGGCTTATATAGCTGAGTGGTAGAGCTGGGGAAAGGGAAGTGGTATTATGGATTTAGCGTTCACAGTTTTGATGGTTTATAAGTAACTCTTAAGGCCAACGATGTAATGGATACTTTTGCTATGACACAGATTTTGGCTCCTGCTTGAAGCTGCCCTCAGTCAGCAGCTCCTGTGCCGGCTTCAGGCTGAGGCAGCCTTCCGAGCCTTCATCTCAAAACCTCGCTGCTCTCTACTTGTTAACGGTCAGAGAACCTCATGGCGTTGGACTTAGCCACGTTTTGCTGAGGGGAATACATATGCTGTAAATGGCAGGGGTTTTCAGTCTGTTTAAACTGTAAAGCTCTGTGCAGACATGAGGTTGGGGCAGGGAGAGGGAAGCTTTGTGGCTTTGGTGTTCGATTCCTTTACAGACTGATTGAAGATGCAGAAAGAATAACATTTCAAGTCGGAGAACTAAGTTGGCCTTGAGCATGCACCCCACCTCTGTGTCGTTTCCCTTAAGAGGCCAGCTCGTTGTCTTAAGTGGCACAGTAGAAAAGGCAGGTCGTAGGACTTCATAGCTGGAAGATGAAGAAATTGACATAATCAAAGGGCTATTTGATTCTTCATTGTAAAGTGAGAAAATTGGGCAAGACCAAATTTTCTTAAATTAAGCCCCTGTGAGCTGACCAAAGGTTGAATTGCTTCTAAAATCAAGGAAAAGCAAAATAACGGAAACTTTTCTTAGGCATTCTTTTCCCATGCCTTGTAAATTTTCATTTTTAACTTCTTTGCCTGCTCCTGAGTGCTCACAAATTTCAAAGTGACTGGGTGTGCAAAACAGGAGTTTTCTTTAGGCAACATGTCGTAGCTTGTGGTCTTATGCTGCAAAGTATGTGTCTTGGTTATCCTCTCTGCAGATAAAATCTTCCCAAGTCTTCATAAAAGGATGGAATTTATGTTCCTCAAGGTTAACCACCATCTCATAAAGGTCAGTGTCTGGATTCAGGGCCAAATGGCCCCTAAGATGTTTCTTAAAAGAGATCTTTCATCTCTGTTATTGTATGATCTTGAACTTATTTCATCTGCCGTCATGATCTTGTGGAAGTCCCCTCTTCATCAGACGCACACACACACACACACACACACACACGTACACACAACTTTGTGGAGTACTTTGAGGTTTGTGGCAAAATCGAGCAGAGAGTAGTGTTCTTTTTTTATTTATTATTTTTATTTTACGTGTATGCATGTATTGCCTGTGTGTAGGTAAGTGCACCCATGTCTTGCAATGCCTGCAGAAGACAGAAGAGGCTGTTGGATCCCCTGGAACTGGAGTTACAGACAGTTTTTAGCTGCTGTGTGGGTGCTGGGATTCAAACCCGGGTCTTCTGCAAGAACAACCAGTGTTCTTAACTGCTGAGCCATCTTTCCAGCTCCAGAGAGTAGTGTTCTTATAGACACCCTAACCCTGCTTCAGACTCCACCACTGATACCATCCCTACTAGAGTAGTAAATGAATTACGTCAGTGACCCTGTGTTGATATCATCACCCAAAGTCCATAGGTCACACTCAGGTTCACTCTTGGTGGTGTACATTGTCTGGGTTTTGACAGATACATAATGACATTTATCCATCATCACAGTGACATACATAACAACATTTATCTACCATCACAGTGACATGTAATAGTTTCATGGCCTTAACAATCCTGTGTGTTCTACCTGCTCATTCCTCCTTCTCCAACTCCTGGAAATCATGGATCTTGCTACTGTCTCCGTAGTTTTGCCTTTTCCTGAATGCCATGTGCCATGTAGGTAGAGTGACAGTCTCTCTTTTGCATTGGCATCTTTTACTTAGTAATGTACACTTAAGGCTCTTCCATGACTTTTCATGGGTTGTTAGTGCGTTTCTTTTTAACCCTGAATAATATTCTGTTGTCTGGATGTGCCACAGTTTATCCACTCACCTACTAAAAGACATCTTGGTTATGTCTAAGTTTTGGCAGCTGTGTATAAAACTATAAATATCTACATGTAGATTTTTGTATGGACATGTTTTCAGTCCGTTTGAGTAAAAACTTAAGAATTGTGTTGTTGGATCTTATGGTAAAAGTATGTTTAATCTTTGAAGAAACTGCCAGACTTTTTGAAAGTGGCCGTGCTATTTTGCAGTTCTACCAACAAAGAATGAGGGTTCCTGTTTTCCTCATCTTTACCAGCTTTTGGTGTTGTGTTCTGTTTGACGGATATTCTGGTAGTTGTGAAGCAATTTCTTGTTTTAACTTGTAATTTCTGTGTGTGTGGGGGGGTGCATGTGGGTTTGGGTGTGCATGCACATGTGTGCACATTTATGTAGAGGCTAGAGGTTGCTGTCAGGAGTCTTCCTCATCTATTTTTGAGACAGGGTCTCTCACTGAACCTGGAGCTCACTGATTGACTAGATGGGCTGGCTGATGCACTTGCTCCAGGGATCCTCCTGTGTCTCCACCTCTACAGTGCTGGCATTACCAGTGTGCACTGTTATGGGTACTGGGGTTCTGAACTCAGGTCCTTATGCTCGTGCAGCAAGAACTTTACTGACTGAATCATCTCCTCAGCCCCCAATTTTCAGTTTTGTAATGATGCTAAACATTTTCATGTGCTTAATTGGCATCTGAAATTGTCTTTGGTGAGGTGTCTAGGTTATTCTGGGTCTTTTGCCTCTTGATATCAACTTAGACTCAAACCCAGAGAAAGACCCAACAAAAAAAGAGAATTGTATAGCTCAGTCTCCCTGATGAACATAGACACAAAGATTCTCAGTAAAATACTTGAAAACCAATTTCAAGAACACATCAAAAGGCCATCCACCACCAAAGTTGACTTCATTCCCAGGATGCAGGGATGGTTCAACATACATAAATCAGTAAATGTAGTTCATCACAAAAGTAGACTCAAGGACAGAAACCACATGATCATCTTATTACATGCAGAAAAGGCCTTTAATTGAAAACCCAGCTTTCCTTCATGATAAAAGTCTTGGAAAATCTAGAATACAGGGGACATATCTCAACATAATAAAGGCAATATATAACAAGCCCAGAGCCAACACGCTAAGTAGAAAACTCAAAAAGCATCCCCATTAATAATAGGAAGAAGACAAGGATGTTCACTCTCCGTTCCTGTGCAGTATAGTGCTTGAAGTTTTAACTAGAGCAGTAAGACAAGAGAAGGAGATAAAGGGGATACAAACAGGAAAGGAGGAAGTCAAAGTATCTTTATTTTCAGATAATATGAGTCTATACATAAAAGATCCCAAAGACTCCACCAGAAAACTCCTACGGCTGATAAACACATCCAGCAAAGTATCAGAATACAAAATTAACACACAAAATCAGTAACCTTCCTCTACACCACCAACAAACATACCAAGAAGGAAATCAGGAAAACAGTCCCACTCACATAGCCTCAAAAATATATCTTGGAATAAATCTAACCTAAGAAGTGAAAAACTTGTATAGTGAAGAATCAAAGATGATACAAGAACATGGAAAGACCTCCCATGCTCATGGATTGGTAGGGTTGATATTGTGGAAATGGCCATCCTACCAAAAGCAGTCTACAGATTCAGTGCAATCCCCACTGAAATTCCAATGCAATTCTTCAATGAAATTGAAAATATAATTTTAAAGTTCACATGGAAACACAGAAGACCCAGAATAGCCAAACAATCCTCAACAGTAAACACTGCTGAAGGTATCAAGCCCCAATTTTAAGTTACACTGCAGAGCTATAGTATCAAAAGCAGCATGGTACTGGAACCAAAACTGATTGATTAATGGAATAGAATCGAAGGTCCAGGTCAAACCCCATGCCCCTACAGCCACCTGATTTTTTTTTTTTTTAAATACAAAGAAGCCAAAAACACACGTTGGAGAAAAGACTGTGTCTTCAACAAGTTGTGCTGGTCAGACTGGATAGCTACATGTGGAAGAATGAATCTAGATCCTTATCTGTCACTCTGCACAAAACTCAACTCCAGATGGATGGAGGACCTCAACATAAGACTTGATACCTTGGATCTGTTAGAGGAAAAAGTAGGGAATACACTTCAACTTATATGCACAAGAAAACTGAATAGGATCCTGATAGAACAGACATTAGGACCAACAGTTGACAAATGTGACTTCGTGTAATTAAAAAACTGTACAGCAAAGGGCACCATTTTTTTTTCTTTTTAAAAAAAATTGTACAAAAACTTTATTGAGAATTTCATGCATGTA